TTCTAAAGAAAAAGTCCCTCGGACGAGGAAAGAAGGGGCTTTTGATCGAGATGGGTAGAAGAAGCACTACAAAAATTATGGGAATTAGTAGGCAAGATTATGTGTTAGTACATAGAATGTACCAAGTATGATAGTGATGCATAAAAGTGAGAGAATCATGCTAAAAGGACATTTCATGAAATGCAATGACCAAGCTTAAGCCATATGTTAAAAGGTTAGAAAACATACATCGTGATCATGGTCAATGCAGGTTAAATCATCTTCAAAACACATATGATATACTTCTAAGAGTAACCTTAGTTCATTATTATGGGAATTAGCCATTAACCGACATATGGACCATGTGAGTTATAACATGAAATCAGGTGTCTATCCTACACCGAAAAGAGATGCCCTTACTTGCCAAGGTAAGAACTATAAACTTCTAGCTTACGTGGATCCACTAGCTAGCGTTTATCTAAGACAAACCTATGGTGGCACGTAGTTATTGGATAGGGAGATTGCTACTAGAAATACATCCTGAAGTACGGGAGAGCTTCCATCTCAATATCCTCTCGGTGTTAAGTATAAATCCCACGAAAACATCATTAGTCTTAACTCGTCTTATTATCCATGGAATGACACATCAAGTAGCCAATCCAAGCTAGAGTTCATTAGAATAGATCCTAAATCTTGAATCAAAGTTTAGTTGAGAAAACCTTTCAAATCTAAGAATCCTTTATGTGAGAAAACCCCTTTCACATTCATGTATTGAGTAGTATGTGAGAAATTATTTCAAAACAACATAAACATTGATGCTTAACTCTGAAAGCAACCTTAAACAATTTTCATCAATTTCATAAAGAAAATGCATATCTTCATATATTCATCTTTCATAGTTCAAAACCCACATAATATCATCATGGTATACAAATCATAGGTCATGCATGGATTTAAGGTATATTTAACCTAAAACATGTAATTTCTTTAATTCATGCATAAAAAGACATAAATCAATCAATCGAATCAGTATTCAAAAGAACCCATGGCAATTGAATAAAACCCTAATTTGATTGCAGAATCTTACTTTACAAAATTGGGATTTTAGGAACCCTATGGAGGAAAGAGCTCCATAGGTTTAGACTATCATACCTTGGAGTTCAAAGCCCAAAAGTTATGGTGGGAATTAAGACTTGAGGGAAACCCTATGTCTTCTTCTTATTCCAACTTAGAGAGACAAATATTTGCAAGGATGAACTTGATCATATTCTTTTTAATAATTTAGGAGAGTGAATTGAATTAGGTGATTTTGGGATTTAAAAATCATTTTATAAGGCTTAGGGTAGAAGGTAAAACGACGTAGTATAGGATTAAAATAATTAGGGAAAAGGCCAAGAAGCCCTTAAAATAACTATTGGGCATCCATTTACGGTTCGACTTACGGTTCGTAGGTCCAACTACGGATAATCTTGCCCAATCGTCGATAGGGTTCTGGGAACATATTTTGGACCCCCATCGACGGTTACAATGTACGGTTCGTTGGTCCACTTATGGACCATACATGCCAGCCATAGGTTCCAACTTTGACCCTCAAATTTCATTAAGTTTGGGACTCCCCTATGGGACCTATGTACGACTCGTACCTTGAATGACGGACCGTCCTGGTGAACCGTAAAAAAATTACTAGGACTAGAAATTTGAAAAATCTTTGGACTTGCAACCTATGGTTACCACCTACGGCTCGTAGGTCAATCTACAGTCCATTGGTGGTCCCATCGGTGTAGACACCAGTTCCAAAAAACATAAAATATCTTATTTTCAAATACAACGTGTTGCAATATCTCCCCCTTTGGAACATTCGTCCTCAAATGGAAATCAAGACATCAAAAGGAGGGTAGGAACTAGATCTAACAGTCCAACATGAATGCAATCACATAAATGCACATATCCGAGGAGGAAACATCAACTCCAAGTTAAAGCATGTTCAAAGTATCATTTCATAAGGTCTATATGCAACTCATACTCAAATACATATAAACATGAAGAAATCAATCAAGTTAACTCATTTTCTCAAAATTTAAGCTTCTCATGAACATGCATAAATGAGGAATCCTCGGAATATCTAAGACAGACGAACCCAAAAGAGTGAACCATGAAGAATTGAATACCTCAAGCTAGAGTAGGCACGGAGGGAAAGAGATGAGGATAACGAGACATCATATCGGCCTCAGCCTCCCAAGTATCACCCTCAAGTAACTAATTTTTCTAAAGAACCTTTACGGAGCAACTTCTTTATTTCTCAACTTCCGAACTTGCCGGTCGAAAATTTCAACTAGACTTTCTTGATAAGAAAGGTTATACCTTATACCTAGCCAATGGTACTATAGATATCGGATCACCGATACATTTTTCAACAAGGAGACATGGAAAAGCGGATGCACCGATGCCAAGTCATTAGGAAAATCAAGTTCATATGAAACTTTACCAATACGCCTCAAAATCTTATAAGGGCCACATAACGGGGACTAAGTTTTCCTTTCTTACTAATCTCATCACACCCTTCATGGGTAAAATTTTCAAATAAACCATATCATCCACATCAAACTCAAAATCTCTTCTTTTAACATCTGCATAGGACTTTTGTCAACTTTGAGCCATTTTCAACCTTTCTCGAATAAGCCAAACATTCTCGATCGCTTCATGTACCAATTCGGGACCTATCAAGGCAACTTCACCTGCTTCAAACAAACCTATAAGATATCTACACCTCCTACAATATAGAGCCTCAAATGGAGCCATACCAATGCTTAAGTGATAGCTATTATTATATGCGAACTCAATCAAAGGCAAATGATCATCTTTAAGTCAATTAAACAAGCTCGCAACATATCTTCCAAAGTTTGGATAGTACGCTCCACCTTCCCATCAGTTTGCGGATGAAAGGTTGTACTAAGTTTAACACGAGCACCAAGCCCCTTTTTGAAAGATTTCCAAAATTGAGAAGTGAATTGGGTACCACAATTAGAGATAATGTATAAGGGCACTCCATGAAAACTAACCATTTCTTTCAAGTACAACTTAGCATAGTCTTCTGCCGAATAAGAAACTTTGACCGGAATGAAATAAGTTGATTTTTTCATATGATCTACTACAACCAAATCTAGTCATGTTATCGCCGAGTGCGGGGTAAACAAACAATGAAGTCCATATTCAAATCTTCCCATTTCCAAGTAGGAATGCTAATATCTTGGGACAAACCTCTCGACTTCTGATGCTCAACTTTCACTTGTGGACAATTAGGACAAATAGCAACAAATTCCGCAATATCCTTCTTCAACCCATTCAACCAATAGACCTCCCGAAAGTCATGGTAAATCTTGATGGCTCCTGGGTGAATGGAATATCGAGAACTATGGGCTTCTGATAAAATTTTCCCTCTCAAGTCATTTACATTGGGAACACACAAATGACCTTGATGTCAAAGTACTCCATCTCCCCCTTGGGCGAAAGCCTCTACAAACTTTCTAAATACTGCTTCATTTAATTCAACAAAATTCGGATCAAGACCTTGTTTTTCTTTCACTTCCGACACAAAAGACGATTCATAAGCATTATGAACCATAACACCCCATTTGGTGGAATCAACTATTCGAACACTCAAACAAGACAATCTATGAACATCTTGAACCAACTCCTTCTTACCATCTTCAATATGAGAAACACTACCCATTGATAACCGACTAAGAGCATTTCCCACCACATTCGCTTTGCGGGGGTAATAGAGAACACTCATGTTATACTCATTTAGTAACTCAAGCCACCTTCTTTTGCGAAGATTTAGGTCATTCTGTTTGAACACGTATTGTAACCTATTATGGTCAGTAAAGACATAAACATGAACACCATACAAGTAATGCCTCCAAAATCTCTAATGCAAACACAACTGTCACTAGTTCCAAATCAGGGGTAGGATAGTTATTTTCATGCACTTTAAGTTGACTTGAAGCATAGGCAATGACTTTCCCATTTTACAAAAGGACACATCCCAAACCAATTCTCGAAGCATCACAATAAACCACAAAACCATTGGTATATGGTAAAGTTAACACTGGAGTGGAAGTAAGTTTATTTTTTAATACCTGAAAACTCTTTTCACAGGCTTCCGACAGTTGCTCGTAGAACGATTGGATATATTTCTCTAGAGTTGATCAACAGAGGCATTGGAGCAATCTCTTACAAAGCTAATGTTTTACAGTTTTGGGATGTTGCTAATGGAAATGTTGGACTTAAAGAGAAATGAAGTTGAAGATGAAGAGGATTCCGCCAATATTTTCCTTATTATATTTATGATAAGTTTAACAAGGGGAAGGATATTGTGGTGGGTAAAGAAGCAAATGATGATGAAAAGAAGATGGCTATAAAATTGAGTTTAGTTGCATTATGGTGCATACAAGCAAATCCGATACGACACCCTTGGATGAGTAGGGTATTATTAGAAATGCTTGAAGGTGAAGTTGAAGTGCTAGAAGTACCTCCTCAACCTATTCAATCTCAGCCGATTGTTCATCTGATCATAGGAAGTTGTATGACATATTTTCCTGATCCAATGGGTATTTTGTGGTCTTTTTAATTAGTTTAATTATTTGTTAGGATAGTGACACGCCATTAATTATTTTGTTAATTAGGGTTATTTATAGAGACCATTAAAGATAAGGGTAAAAAAGAACCAAAATATTGATTTTAGAGACATTTTTGGCCCGATAGGTGGATGAAGGGCAATTTATACCAATTTGTATAGCTAATGGGTATTTTAGGGCTGTTTTGGATGTTTTAATTGGTCCATTTGTTTTATGTTTAGAATACTTTTCTTTTGTTTTAATCTAAAAATGGATCAGTGGATCCGACTCTGGTCTAAAAAGAAAAGTTTTTTAAAGGAAAAAAAGAAAGAGTTGAAAATTAAGGGGAAGGAATAATAATTTAGATAATGTAGAGGGAAGTGAAGAAAAATTAGTTAGTGGGCAGTGTGGATAGGCGAAAGTGCTGAAGCTATAGAGTTGTAGAAAGAAGAAGTCTGGGATCGAGAAAATGATGGTTGACGTGGTGACTAGCAATAGCCAGCAGCAAATTCTAATGGGCGGCGGAGATACGACGAGCAGTGGGGGCGAGGAAAATTGTACAAACCCTTGTTCTGATGTGAAAACCCCTAAGAAACGTGCAGAGACATGGGTACAAGAAGAAACTCGAGTACTTATTGGTCTTCGTAGAGAAATTGACTCTCTTTTCAATACTTCAAAGTCTAATAAGCATTTGTGGGACCAAATTTCTATGAAGATGAGAGAAAAAGGCTTTGATAGGTCACCTACTATGTGTACTGATAAATGGAGAAATTTGTTGAAGGAATTCAAGAAAGCTAAACAAAATCAAGATAGAAATGGCTCTGCTAAGATGTCCTATTATAAGGAAATTGACGAGATTTTAAGAGACAGGACTAATACTGGTTATAAGAGCCCTCCTCCTCCCCCTCCCAAGGTTGATTCTTTTATGCACTTCGCTCAAAAAGGTATCTTCTTCTTTTTAACTGCTCCAACCATCTTCTCTTATTTTCCTCTCAGTTCTAATCTCTTCCACTGTATCCCACTTTATCCCAGGTCTTGATGATACAAGCATCACATTTGGACCCGTTGAAGGTAACACATCTAAGCTGTAGCATATCTCTTTAGACCATTGCATATTTTTTTACTATCTCTGTGGTTGTTCATTTCTTTACTTCCTACTGTGTTTTTGGATACTCTTCATGTTCAGCTGCTGCTTGCTTCACTATACCTCACTTCTATAAAGTTGTCAAAATTAATTATATTTAAGGTGACCAGTTAGGTTGTGTGAAATAGAACCTAGTGGTCTGGCCCTTAACCAGACCCAACAATAGTGGTTGGAGTAATTTGAGATATGCTCTCTTTGGTTGGATACACTATCCAATACTAGTTCATTTGTGGGGTACCAATATGTGATAATAGGAGGGATTAGTTTTTCAAGGAAAGGGTTAATGTAAATTTTAGAAAAAATGGAGATTGATAAAATATAAATTGTTTTTTTTAGATAATGGTATAAAGTCTGAAAAGGTTACACAAATTGGACTCGACCAAATTACATGACAAAAGACTCTAGCAAGTCCATAAAATCTTAAAGATCAGTAGCAAAAGACCCACTGCTCCTAAAACAACAGATTCTGAATACATTTGAATTTTATAACAGCTGCAAATTCCTTCTTCCCATCAAAGCATCTTTAGATCTTTCCTAGCCATATAGTCCATGCCTAAGTTGCTCGGACTCGACTGCGGGTGTCCGATACGGGTGCGGATCTAAAGGTCGAATCCTTTATTATCAAATTTTTAAGATTTGGGGATATGGATTCATGTATGGATACGGGTGCGGGGATTCGCCTAAAAATAATTAGAATATCTAAAATAGAGCTATAAAACCTAAATTATGAGATATTATTTGGAGAACTTGAGGAGAATCCTAGAAGGAGATCAAAGGAAAAGGAGTGACATAGAAATTTCTATATAAAAGGTATTTCATTTCCTTCAATTTCACCTTAGCTTTTGTATTGATTACAGAAATCATTAAAATTGTCCAGACTTTCCCCATCAATTTCAGTCGAAGTACCCAAAATCGGTTGACCAAATCGGACACGGATCCCACACCCTAAGTTGCTCAGTCTCGGGTGCGAGTGTCCGGTACGGGTGCGGCACCAAAAGTGAAGAGTCCGAGCAACTTAGGTCCATGCTATGCATAAGGTGACTCACTCCAAAGCCTCTTTGTCTCCTGTCAATCTCTTTGTTTGTCAAATATGGAGTAGCTATCAAAAGTTTGATGGCATTACCAAGTGAACTCCAAAAATGCATAAAATTATATATCAAATCTGCCATGAAATGCTACAGTGAAGTAGCAAGTGATCCACTGATTCCCTAGCATTCTCATATAAAAAGCACTTGCTATAATGAATAAATCGTTTCTCCTGCAGCCGATCCTGCGATAAATACGCTCCGAGAGCTGCCAGCCATCCAAAACAAGCCACTTTCGCTGGTACTTTTGTCTTCCATATCATTTTCCATGGCCAATTTTTTTCATATTCCGCTGGAAGTTCTAAACTTCTAGCATCATAGCATGTCTGAACAGTTAATTCAGAGTGGTAGAACGAAAGCTCTACCATAGCTACCATGAAAATATAGCACAACAGAAAAAATTTATGGGAATGCGTGACTTCAATATTTCATGCTTCTATCTATTTATATAGACTTTAGACAGAGGATTTTACACTCAGGTTTCAATACTATGAAAGTCTATCTAATATCAAAGGCCCCTTTCTCGAAGCATCATCCTGAAGTTCCTTCTGGATTTGGGGAACCCCATTCCGGTGGACTTTCTCCACCGGAAAACTCCATCGTCATCCTTTCTCTTCAAGCTTCTTTTCCTCCAACTGGAAGAGTCAATATAGGAGTGGTAGTAAGCAACTCCTTGAGCTTCCGTAAGCTCAACTCACACTCCTCAGACCACTCAAATGGAACTTTTTTTCCCTCTCGATATCTTGATCCTCATGAATAGGATGGACAATAGAATCTATTTCTGGTTAGGGGGAAATTGTATGACATCCTGAGTCAAGATCAAAAGTTGAGACATGCTATGATTGGGTAGGAAGCTGTAGGTACCATATGAGAAGAACAATTTTTAGCAAGAGGGCTCTTATATGGATCTACAGAATAGGCTGATTTTTTTAACATTACCATTTTCAAAAGAAAAAAAAAGAATAGGTTGATTTGGTTTATTTTATTTTTAGTTGGTGAATTGACTCATATTCTCTTTCCTAGTTCACTTAACCAGCGGTATTCTTGTCTTTTCACCGCATAGAAACCCATTTCCTCTCCTCACCATTTCAAATCCATCATCATATGTTTGCTTCCTCTGCGATGCAGGTGCCAGAAGATTCATCTCTAGCAACTCACTTGGCTTCGCATGACTCTCAATAGCCCTTCTCCCGTCTCCCATCCTTCCCCCTTTCTTCCTCATCTCCTCACTGTCCTACTCCCTTGTGGACAAGCAAGAAATGTCAGACTTCAGGGTACAACTATATCCTAAACCCCAAAGCCCCATCTTCTGTCTTCAAGGAAGCTCAAAATTTCCCCCCTATTCTCACCACAAGTCTCACCCTGGAGAGGTTGTGTAGACTGTGAACCGACCTTCTAAAAGGTATTTATGTCCAAAATGTTTGGAGATACGCATACAAGGTTTAAACTTCATTCTCGATTCTATGAGAATTTTTATGAAAATCTTTCATTTGCTTCTCTTTAATGGAAGCATCCACAAAACCACCACACATATCCCCCACTTTCCTGAAAAACTCAAAACACCCTAGATGAACAGGTAAGCCCATCATGTTCACCACCACTGAATCTCTAGAAACTCGTGGGTGGATCATCACACCCACTATGGTCTACCCATTTTTCCAGCCTCAAATGCTCTCTCCCGTCCACCTTCTTCCTCTTTTAAGGATGTGTGCCACTTGTTCTTCACTCACAAACTATCACGAACTATAACAAGAACTGAATTTCACCCAACTTCGAGATCTTCAGGCCATCGATACCACTCCTAATATATGTGCCAAGTTGGAATTTGAATTGGGTTATGTATCACTAGTAGGAGATGTAGGCTTGGAAGGAACCACAATCTGACTGAGACTGTGCAGAGTAATAAGGCACAAGTTTAGATGAGTTTGGGGGGAGAAATGTGGACTCTTATTACCAAAATAAGAGAGGATAATTAGGGAGTAGAGTACTGCTTGAGATATGGGAATGTGGTTGACAAAGAATAAAGTCTTTTGAGAATTACGTGACCTGTAGTTTGAAGAAGCAGGTGTTAGAGACAACATGGGTATGGAGGAGGAAGGGATGCGGATGAAGAGGTTTGCATTGGGCTCTGATACCATATAAAACTACATCACAAGTGAAAGATAAGGTGGAAGCTCTATAGTAGATCACAAACAAAAGATAAGATGAAAGCTCTTGTTTAATTGATTAAATTTGTGGTTAAAACAATTCTTTATAATACAAAAAATTGACGGATACAATATATACATCTGTGATGTCCTTCATGATAACCTGTTGGTTAGAGAGGAGCATGTTTTTCCATGTAATACAATATGGATACCAAAGGTGCCGAGGAAGGTGTGTTCTTTTTCTTGGCTAGCTGCTAGAGGGGTGATTTTGACAGTGGAAAATCTTAGAAAACGGAAGGTTGTTTGCGTCGGTTGGCATGTGTAAGAAGACGGGTGAGGACGTGGATCATCTTCTTCTCCATTGTGGGTTAACCATGAGGTTATGGTGTAATATGTTTAGGTGGTTTGACACTCCATAGGCAATGCCAAAATTGTGAAAGAGTGGAAGGAGGAGAAGACGAAGGACAAGGAATGTGATACCACTTGTGTTAATGTGGGTTGTTTGGAGAGAGGAATAGGAAAGCTTTTGAAGGAGTAGAGTCGAGTTTCTCCCAATTGATGAGTAGTCTCCGTTCCCTTATTTCCTTTTGGTGTTCACATAAAGTTCCTTGTTGTATAGATAATTGGGTGGAGTTTGTAGAGAATCATAGCATGCAGATTCTTTACATTTTGGTTTACCCCTTGTATACAACATTTAGTCCATGTTTCACAATGAAAATATATTTACCTGATATAAAGAAAGAAAAAAAAAAGGATACGAAATATACATGGAATCTAAAGGATACTTATTTACGCATCCTTTCGAGTTGTAGGTGGGCAGTGTTTCATTTTTGTATAGCTTGACGATACCTTAGGTCCAAAACCTTAAGCTAATTTGTAATCCACGAATTTGGAAGTGGATCACCAGGCGATCTGTCAATCTTTTGCATATGTGCATCACTTGTTCGCCCTTTTAAAATGCATGATATCTTAGGTGCAACACGTTACCGTGGCGTTGTTCCTAATGCTTCAAAAACCGAATCATACTTCACCTTGAATAATCCTTTGTTTCTCTTAAAGACGTATCATATGAAATCGTGGAAGCAGCCATATCTTGAAGTCAGCAACACTTTGTCATCTTCTATTATTGAATTTCTTTTCTTCCATTATGTTCTAATGTATATCCTCCATTAATTTCCCTCACAAAAGTTGCGCTTATGTCAGGTCAATCTGTTTGTCCATGGATTTAGATGTAAGTTAGACCAAAGTAAGTAATCAAAGAAGACTGCCTTCGGATTCTTAGACATCTGCAAAAATGCCTAACTAAACCTATCAATGCCGATTAGAATGTAATCTAATTAAAAGAAAACCACTTCAACCTAAAAACGAGTCTCCCATCTGATTCAAGGAGGGTAAAAGTTAAAACAATGATATTTTCCAACTTAATCATGAGCTCAGAATCCTTCACTGCAAGTTTCTAGTTTGGTTTCTAAAGAAATGCAAACTAAATTAAGCTTAAGATGATTGCCGCTTTAATTTTCCTGAATATATGCTCTGTATTTCTGAACGACATGCAGTATTTATTGCACTTACTTTTTCATGCTAATTTTTTTTTGTTGATTTGCAAGTTACAATATGCAGTGGAATATACTTATAAAATTTTTGATGTACAGAGAATGGGAGACCAACACTTAATTTAGAACGACGTCTGGATCATGATGGCCATCCTCTTGCCATAACAGCGGCAGATGCAGTCACCGCTAGTGGAGTTTCCCCTTGGAATTGGAGAGAGCCACCTGGAACCGGTTAGTCTGTGTTACAAATTAGTGTGGAAACATCCCGATGGTTTTGCTTTAGAGAAGGAAAACAAAAGGAGTCTGAAGAATCTTCTCAAAAAAGATTAGAGCTGAAATACTTGATCTTTATTATCAAAAAGATTAGAGCTGAAATAAACTATTTTGGCATATTTTTCTTGGTCGGGTCATTCAGACTAGTTCTTCCTACCTTGACTCTTCAATTTAAGAAGTGTAGAGTACACTGAGGGAACTATTCTAAGAACATCCCTCCTAAAACTCTTTTAGAAACCCAGTCACCAATACTTTTATGCTGTCTATATTCTATCATTCTCTGGATTTCGTTCAGATGGCAGCCTCTGGGTTTTGTTTAGATGCATTGCGGCTTTGTCAATTAATTTTAATTGGTACAAAGATTACCCTTTTGAGGCTTCTGTCAAAAATTGCTTCTAGGGTTACAGTTTCAACTCGCTTAGATTTTTATTTTATTCTAATAACTATTCTACGCGTTTGCAGGTGAGCCGAGTCAGTCATATGAGGGACGAGTTATCTCAGTCAAGTGGGGAGATTACATCAAAAAAATCGGTATTGACGGCACTGCATGTGCGATCAAGGAAGCTATTAAATCTGCTTTTCGGTTAAGGACTAAGCGTGCATTTTGGTTGGAGGATGAAGATAATATTGTCAGAACACTTGACAGGGATATGCCACTGGGAAACTACACCTTGCATGTCGATGAAGGTAATGTCATGCAACAGTAAAATTATAACTAGCATTGTGATGAGGTTTTGGTAGTTGTGTTGATATCCATAACAAACTACAAAGTACTTGGGGCTGGTAAAGGGGCAAGGAGCCTTTCCCTGAGCCTGCCCTGTCCCATCTCTACTGCCACTAGTTGGTTCATCAATTTAACAGTATCAGATTCTTCTATCCACTATTTCTAACATCCCTTTGTCGTGCCTCGAAAAACTCCTTTTTAAAGACAATCCCATCTGCAATCAGCTAATTGAATGATTGTGAGAAATATATACGAAAAATATTATTGAATTGTGTATCTAAATAGTTACATTGAGACCCTATTTATAGACACTACATTGGAATCCTTTTCCAACTAGGATTCCTATTCTTATTCCTATTCCTATTCCTATTCTTATTTCTATTATAAGTAGGAAATACTTATTTCTATTCTAACACTCCCCCTCAAGCTGGTGCATACAAATTATATGTACCTAGCTTGTTACAGATGTAATTAATACGAGGACATGTGAGGGACTTGGTGAAGATATCTGCAAGCTGATCATTTGACTTCACAAATTTCGTAACAATATCTCCCGAGAGTATCTTTTCTCTGACAAAGTGACAGTCAATCTCAATGTGCTTAGTCCTTTCATGAAACACTGGATTTGATGCGATATGAAGAGCCGCTTGATTATCACACACAAGTTCCATCTTATCAACTTTGCCAAATTTTAGTTCTCCCAGCAACTGTTTGATCCAAACTAGCTCACAAGTTGCTGTCGCCATTGCTCGATATTCTGATTCTGCACTAGATCGAGCAACCACATTCTGTTTCTTGCTCTTCCACGACACCAAATTACCTTCTACTAAAACACAATATCCGGATGTCGAACGTCTGTCAGAGGGTGATCCTGCCCAATCAGCGTCTGTATATCCAATGATATGCTCATGGCCTTGATCCTCAAAGAGTAGTCCTTTACCGGGAGCTGACTTTATATATCGCAGAATACGAACAACTGCTTCCCAATGACTATCACAAGGGGAAGTCATAAACTGACTTACAACACTCACAGGAAAAGAGATGTCAGGTCTAGTCACTGTGAGATAATTCAACTTTCCAACAAGTCGTCTATACCTTTCAGGATTACTAAGTGGCTCCCCCTGTCCTGGAAGAAGTTTAACATTCGGATCCATAGGAGTGTCAACAGGTCTACATCCCATCATCCCTGTCTCCTCAAGAATGTCTAAGGCATACTTGCGCTGAGAAATAACAATACCTGATCTAGACTGAGCAACCTCAATACCTAGAAAATACTTCAATCTGCCAAGGTCTTTAGTTTGGAAGTGCTTAAAGAGATGTTGCTTCAAATCGGTGATACCATCTTGATCATTACCGGTGATAACAATATCATCAACGTAAACAACCAAATAGATACATCGACTTGGTGCAGAATGCCGATAAAACACAGAGTGATCAGCTCCACTACGAGTCATGCCAAACTCCTGAATTACTGTGCTGAACTTCCCGAACCAAGCTCGAGGAGACTGTTTTAGACCATAGAGTGACCTGCGCAATCGACATACAAGGCTACTAGACTCCCCCTGAGCAACAAAACCAGGTGGTTGCTCCATATAGACTTCTTCCTCAAGATCACCATGCAGAAAAGCATTCTTAATGTCCAACTGATGAAGAGGCCAATGACGAACGGCAGCCATAGATAGAAAAAGACGAACAGATGCAATTTTAGCCACAGGAGCGAAAGTGTCACTATAATCTAGCCCAAATATCTGAGTATACCCTTTGGCAACAAGGCGAGCCTTAAGTCGATCAACCTGACCGTCTGGACCAATTTTGACTGCATAAACCCAACGACAACCAACAGTAGATTTACCTGCAGGAAGGGAGACAAGCTCCCAAGTACCACTCTTATGTAAAGCAGACATCTCATCAACCATAGCCTGCCTCCATCCAGAATGAGAAAGTGCTTCACCTGTAGTCTTAGGAATGGAAATAGAGGACAAAGACGACACAAATGCATAATGGGGTGATGATAGACGATGATAACTTAAGAAGGTATAATGTGGGTTAGTATTTCGAGTGGATCGTATACCTTTTTTAAGTGCAAGCGGTTGGCTAGGAGGAGGCAAGTCCGCAGTAGGAGCAGGGTCTGGCGCATGACATGAATCATCTGGGACTAGGGTTGGACGTGGACGGCGATGATAAGTTAGTAGTGGTGGCACTACAACTGGAGATGTAGAAGTAACCGTAGATTCCACAAAGGTTGGCACAGGTAAAACCTGAGGTATGGGTAAGACCATAGAGACATCAGGATGATCAGAAGATGCATAGTAAGGCTGAGACTCAAAAAATGTAACATCAGCAGACATAAGGTATCGATGAAGATCATGTGAATAACAACGATACCCTTTTTGGACTCGAGAGTAACCAAGAAAGACACATTTGAGGGCACGAGGAGCTAATTTATCTTTTCCTGGGGCTAAGTTATGAACGAAGCATGTGCTCCCAAAGACACGAGGAGGGATAGGATAGAGATGTGACTGAGGAAACAGTATGGAATGGGGAACCTGATTCTGAATAGAAGAAGAGGGCATTCTATTTATCAAATAACAAGACGTAAGAACTGCATCTCCCCAAAAACGCAATGGAACATTGGATTCAAGGAGAAGAGTACGAGCGGTCTCAATAAGATGCCGATTTTTTCTTTCAGCTACACCATTTTGTTGAGGGGTGTATGGACAAGTAGTCTGGTGAATAATGCCTTGGTGAGTCATAAACTCCCGAAATTGGGAGGATAAGTATTCTAAGGCATTATCACTACGAAAAGTACGAATAGAAACACCAAACTGATTTTGTATTTCAGCAAAGAAACTTTTGAAAATAGAAAATAACTCAGAACGATCTTTCATTAAGAAAACCCAAGTACATTTTGAATAATCATCAATGAAACTAACAAAATAACGAAATCCTAAGGTGGAACTGACTCTACTAGGACCCCAAATATCAGAATGAACTAATGAAAAAATAGACTCTGAACGACCCTCAGTACTACGAGAAAACGTAGCACGAGTGTGTTTCCCAAGTTGACACGACTCACAATCTAATGTGGATAAACTAGACAAACTAGGCACCATCTTTTGCAGTTTGGATAGACTCGGATGTCCCAAACGTTTGTGAATTAAATCTGGGGAATCTGTAATGGAGCATGCTGCTAAGGAATTTGAAGAGGTAAGATAGTAAAGGCCTTGTGATTCATGTCCTGTTCCAATCATCTGTCCCGTACTGCGGTCCTGCATGAGAAAAAAATCATCGAAAAAAGTTATGCTACAATGTAGGGCTTTCGTCAAACGACTAACAGATGCTAGATTAAAAGGAGAACCAGGGACATAAAGAACAGAGTCTAGGGTGACAGAAGATAGGGGTTTGGCTTTTCCAACCCCTTTTGGTTTGGTTTGGATCCCATTGGCTAAAGTAATAGCTGGAAGAGATTGTGAATAAACAATATCGGATAAAAGTGATTTATTACCAGAGATATGATCAGAAGCCCCAGAGTCCATGACCCATGTTCCAAGAGTACTAGATTGCGACACACAAGCAAAAGAATTACCCGCAACAGAGACATCAGGTTGTGCAACCGAAACTACTTGTGGAGACGTTTGCTTATTTGCGCGATTTCGAAGGAACTCATTATATTCCTTTAGAACAATAGGATCATAACTGGGTGGTGGACCATGCAAAATATAACATATATCACGAGTGTGTCCAGGCTTATGACAATGACTACACTTGGATCGAGGTTTCCCAAAACGCCCTCCTCCTCGCCGATTCTCCATAGATTGATATGTACGCTTTTCAAAGGTTTGAGATGCAAGAATAGATGAGTCAACAGTGGGTGATGAAACTACCTTGTGACTGGGAGGTGCCGCAAGACGAAGGAGACGAGAGAATAATTCATCGATTGTAGGAACTGTAGGGCTAGCTAAAATCTGATCACGTACAGAATCATGATCAGGAGGAAGTCCAGCAAGAGTAAGAACTAGAAACAATGTTTGTCTGTGTTCTTGTTGTTTTTCCACATTCGTAGTAACTGGCATTAATGTGTCAAATTCCTCCATGACTGCCTGTACCTGTCCTAAGTAAGTAGACATATCGGATTCTTGTTTCTTTAAGTTGGTCAATCGAGATATCACATCATAGAATCGAGATATGTCATTAGTGTATAAAGCACGAGCCTTTTCCCAAACTGTATAACACGTCTGGAATGGGCGAAACAAGGGCATCAACTTGAAATCAATAGAACGCCATAGGAGACTACATAATTGAGCATCTACTTTCTCCCATTGTGCTTTGGCTTTTGCATCTTCCTCACTAGTCTTTGCCTTTACATCTACCTCATAAGCCTTGTTCGTTAAGTGATCTTGGACACCTTGACCCTTGCACCACAACTCAACCGAGGAAGCCCAAGATAAATAGTTTGAACTTCCCAATAAAAGTTCTGAAGTGATTATAGGGCTAGAACTTCCAATCCCCATATTTTTGGAACCAAAAACATCACACCCAAAAGACATTATGCTAAATTTGTCTCGGAAAATTCAAATCTCGAAGAAAAGTCGCCGGAAACTGCCTGGAAATAGCTGGAACTCTAATTCCGGCGATCGGATCTGGTCAAAAACAGTATGGGCCTGGTCGGATTGGCTGGACGACCTCAACTGTCAAAAAAATCTCAAAAAAATATAATCAGAAAAGCCCTCACGCGCCGGCGCGTGAGACAGATCTCGCCGGAAACTGCCACCTCCGATAGGCGCGTGAGAGCGCGTGGGGTGGTGTTTTCCGGTGGTTTTGGCTGGGGTTTGGTCGCGGGGGCTTTCCGAGTCTCGTGGTGGTGTTGGTTTTCGCACAACACCCACAGAAAGAAAAAAGTATAACAAAATCAGACCCAACAGTCACCGGAAATTGACATAGACATACGGTGACTTGTTTGTTCTCACCAATGCTCTGATACCATGTGAGAAATATATACGAAAAATATTATTGAATTGTGTATCTAAATAGTTACATTGAGACCCTATTTATAGACACTACATTGGAATCCTTTTCCAACTAGGATTCCTATTCTTATTCCTATTCCTATTCCTATTCTTATTTCTATTATAAGTAGGAAATACTTATTTCTATTCTAACAATGATCACAAACATATACATGGAAGTAAGAAATTTTATCAAGAAATTAAGAACAAGATAGGGAGAAAGAGATAACAAGAAATTAAGAATAACATAGGGAGAAAGAGAGAACAAGAAATTAGGAGGAAATGATGATTTTAACAATTTCAGTTTGAAAATAAAACAAAACAATTCTAACAATAAAAATAGCTTTTAATCACATAAATGATTTCAAGGAAGATTTATAGGAAAATTCCTAAACACCCATCAAAAGGAGTAAAACTTTGAATCAGTATTTGTGGGATCTCTTGAATCATGCCTCAGCACGTGAAGGAATTTTTGGAGAGTTGGCAGTACCAGAGAACACACAAAGCTTTGAAGCAAATTTGGAGAACTATACCTCTGTACATATTCTGGACTATCTGGCTAGAAAGAAATAAAGCTTGTTCTGATGGGCTAAAAGACCATATTTCTAGAGTTAAAAACAAGTGTTTACATAATTAGTTTTGTTGGTGTAAAAATAGTTTCCTTGATAATATAGATCAATATATGGAGTTTTTGGAGCTGCTAGGGAGATGTCTTAATTGACTGTATGGATATTCCCATCAGTCTTTTGTAACTTTTTGTTTTGGTACCTTCTTGGTACTTAGTCAATTAACCTTTACCTTATCAAAAAAGAAAAAAAAAAACTCTGAATCATCCGAAAGCAAATATATCTAAGTCTTACTATTTATAGTAACACTAAACTAGTTACATAAATGGCCATGGGCATGAATTGCAAATCTGGTGCTCTAGGCGCCTTCTTTGCAATCACGGCTAGGGGCACGCGATTGCGCTTCTGAGCTCAATATCCCTCTCTGCAAAGGTGCTCCATGTTCCACATCATGGTCTTTGGCTAGATGAGAATATTTTTTCTCTATATATCTATCTATCCATCCATCCATATAAACCAAAATACTCATAAAGGGGCTCTCCATGACCTTTCTGTGGTTCATCTACTTTGTCGCCAGCTGTCTGCCCACAACTCCGAAATGAAGCTAAAATGTAGCAAAAGGTGGTCAGTGTCCACTCCATGTTTTCTGCAAATAACTGCTTACAATACTTCATCTTTCTCCTTAAATTGTCTGATGTCAAAAACACCACCTATGTTAGAGCTTTGTAACTCCATATTTATTTCCAGGACCGGTCTCACATCACCCTTGTGAATATAAAATTAAGGTGACGAAGTTATAAAGCATTGGACATATATAATATGCGCATTATTGACAGCGGTATGCCACTAAAGTAAATCTTTTGCAGAGTAAACATTTGCCTATCTTGCTATTATGTATTCAGTTCTGTTATTCTTTTGTCCCCCCTAACCCATTCTCATTCCCTTCATAAGAAGAAATAGAGAAACTAACCTGATTCCTGCTCCGCAGGCCTGACGATAAAGATCTGCATGTATGATGAGGCAGATCACTTGCCTGTTCATACAGAGGATAAAACCTTTTACTCTGAGGATGATTTCCGTAACTTCTTATCACGCAGAGGTTGGTCATGTTTAAGAGAGTATAATGGGTATCGAAATGTTGATAGTATGGATGAGCTTTGCCCTGGTGCCGTCTATCGTGGTGTCAACTAAGGAGGATCAGTATGGCCTTGTCCATCATTGTGATATTTTGCTCAAAGCTCATTTAGATAGTCTAAGTTGTATAGATGGTTCCAGCTATACCTAATAGTAGCAAATGGGAGCTAGATGAAGTAGGGAAGGACATCGATGTACAAATTAGTTGAATCTTAGCTTTTGATTGCATGTAAATCTTTTCATAATTGATGTACTTCCAAATCCTGAAACCATTTCTCTGCTGTGGTTATGTAGTTAAAGATTTTCTAGTAATATGTGAACAGATTAGACAGAAATAGAGTGATTTTCAGTTTTAAGAAATTGAAAGCATTCAATTTAATTCAGATCCTTCAATCAGTACATACTTTCTACTTCTATTTCTCTACGCGTTTTGCCTTATTACTTTTTGCTTTACTTTACTAATACACATTTTTGGTTCTCAGAAACATATATTTGGTATTTCATATTTCTCTAGTTTGAGGTTTTCTTTTCTCCCTTTTTTTTGTCTTATTTGATGTTGAGATAAATAATTTTTCTCGAGTTGGACAAAAAAGAGGAGATAAGGCCCAAAATAGTCCCTCATCTTTGGGTTAAGACTCAAAGTTATTCTTGAGTTTTCACATGGAGCACTAATAGTCTTTCGTGTTTGCAATATTGGTGCACTTTTGGTCCTCCCCTAAACTTTTACCTATTTTTTAACATTAATTTTGTCCACAATTTTATGTAAGGAATGTCTAATTGTCTTTTTATATATTTTAGTAGAAATAATAACTCTGTGAGAGAAGGTGAGAAGAAGAACACATTGTTCTATTTAGTAGAAATATTACTGCAGCTAAACTAAGAACATCTTGACATATGACGTTGCAAGAAAAGAAAAATTTGTACTATTGCACGTGAAATCATTGTGATGAATCTCTCAATTTTATCTGCAATACGATTTCTACTAAACAAAACAAGGTTTTTTCTTCTCACAATCTCTCACATGGAGTTATTATTTTTCCTAAATATATAAAATGATTATTGAACATTCCATACATAAATTATGGATAAAAATAAAGTTAAAAAATAGGCAAAATTTAGGAGGAGGACTAAAAGTGCACCAATATTGTAAACATAAGGGACTATTAATGCTTCAAGTGAAAACTCAAGGCTGACTTTGAGTCTTAACCCAAATATGAGGGATTATTTTGGGCCTTTTCTCCAAATAAGAGCAATAGCCATTCATTGAATACTAATGGAAATATTTTTCAAACTTCCCCATAAATGTTATAGTGGATTTTAGCAAAATCTTACTTTATATTAATAAGAGAAATTCACATTTGTATGAGAAGAATTGTAATTTCTACTATTTTTCGTATAAAATTTAATTTTATTATATTCATCTAGTCTAATTCAATTTAGCTTTAAAGATTAGTTAAATTGACTTTTGAAAAGTAAAACGTGACAAGTATTTGAAACTGAGGGAGTACAATTAAATTCTTTAATCTATTAATTATAATTGTACTATCATACTTTAAGAACCGACTGAATTTTGTATTTGTTAATAATGTCACAATGGGCATATGCAGATATATCTATCTATATTTGTAGCTATATTTTTTTAGAAGCATGAACTTCTAACTTGAATGTTAAATTATTATAAAATTTTTATCTTAAGTTGTGACTTTTTCAAAGAGTTGACTTTTTCAATAAGTTGTGACTTTTTCAATAAGTTGTGACTTTTTCAAAGAGTTGTATCTTTTCCAAAAGTCGTGACTTTTCAGATAAGACACAAAAAACACTTGTTCATACTATCCTTTGTTGACTATATATAAATAGAAGGGTTTCCTCTCATTTTTCAACAACAATTTTTTTTAATCATCTACTCTTTTTCTTCTTGCATTTTATAATTTTTGTGTGATTTATTATGGTTGAGTGAGTTCGAACTTTAGTAGAACATGAGGTACCACTATTCTGATGAAGTAAACCGTTCTATCCTAAGAGAGTATATTCCATAACCTCGAGTACTTGGGAAAAATAATTTTGATGATATAATAAATATATTTTTGCTTAATATATAAATTAATATGTAATACTCCAATATATGAAGTTAACATGATGTAGTCTAAATTCATTTATTTTTGTTAACAATTTCTCTTGTGATGTAGATATATGCTTTTGAATATCATTTTCCAAAATTTAGAGATTGCCATGATTTGTTTTTTTGATGCTCAAGATTAAAAAAATGACTTTATATATCAATGATACTTATGTGATTTAGATTGTCAGGAAGTTTGCTTCAAAATAATTATTATTATATGAGCATTGTCCTTTTGTTTTACTTATTTACTATTTCTTAATATTTCAGTAATTTAGATGAAGAAAAGTTCATATGACTTGTACTAACGCAAGTTGAAGTTTGTATCAATTTAATTTTTATTATTTATTTAATAGATATTTTATGAGATAAATATTTTCATTAATGCAAATATAATTATATTTAGGTAGGTATTTGTATTTAAATTGAAGTATTATATATGTCACTAATGTATTATCAAGTTAACAAGATCTTCTAACTTCAAAATATATTATTTTAAAATGTTCCGAGTTATTTTTTTTTAAAAATAAACTCATAAAAAAAGTGAAAATATGTGATTATATGAATCATTTAAAATTTATCATTTATAAAATAAAATATTTAGTAATATGGAATAAACATTTACATTTTTTCCCTACACCAAATTAAAATCTAATAACTATAAAAAATAGTAAGATTAATTAAAAGTCCTATTTATTTATGTAAGTATAAAATTTGTTAGAAATTCATCTATTGCACATTAATTCTTTAGTTATAACATTATAAATTCTCTTAGTTATTACTAATTATTGCAAACATTATTCACACTCTTTTACATTCTTAGTTATAATATTATGAATTCCATAGTTATTACATTAATTATTTCTATCTCTCATCTTTCTTTATATTAACTTTTGACCAATAATTTTTCATATTATTACTTTAGCCCCTATATACGTAATAACACAGTGTTATTATTTTTCCTTTGACGAATCATGCTTGGTTGAATAAATTGAAAATCATTTACAAGTATATAAACTATATCTTTATTGGGTGTAAGATAAACATGTGATTATATATATGATTTCACAAATTCAATATATTCTTTAATTTTAATTTTAAATTTTTTCCGGTAAAAAAAAGGAAACTTTTCTCAGTTAACGTAGTTGTTCTCTTCACATGTTCATATGACATCTAAACAGTTTAATGTGAAATACAGGTGCAAAGCATATCTGGTTATATGACAAGAAAAATACACAACAAATATCGTCTATAAGGTAATATTAGTGAGATACGATAAATTACATGATTGAACCTCATCAAATTAAAATAAATTTATACATTATTGCATTTAACTAATAAAATCTTTCATTGACCATCTTCATCGATTCGAGTGAATAAGAGATATATATAACAATTCACATTGAACATTCACAAAAGAATCTGCAATATTATTTTGTGCTAAGCTTATTATTCCAACTTTGGCTTAAATAAGCAATATTTTTTACTATAACATATATTTTCTGAATTTGTAATCATGTGCAACATACCTATCAAAAAACGAATATATATATATATATATATATACTCTAGAAAGGCATGACCCAGTTGAGCACCGGCCCAACGGTAGCTCTTACAATTGATGATTAATAAAATTAAAACAATGACAATATCTAGAGGAGCATCACAATAAAGTAGGCATTTGGGAGTTGCCAAAAGTAAACACATTAATTTCAACTGGATAAAACAGAGAAATTCCTTAAAACAATATAAAAACACTACAACCTTTATAATTAATCTTATCTCAGTTGAAAAGAAATATGAAACTTGCAACAATTATAATAGTTTAAAGTATTACAACTAAATATTATCCATAGTTTGAAAAAACTCATAACTCATCCTAACACTTCCTAACACTTCATCTACTTAATGCCATGAGCAGAATCAAAGAGTTAATAACTTTGATGGTCACTCAACTATCAATTTTTTTGACAGAAAGTCACTCAACTTTTATTTTCAACTCAAAAATTACTCAACTATGATTTTTTTGCACAAAAAGTCACTCAATCTATTTAATTATTTTTTTATTAAAATTTGCTGACATGGAATTTTAATTATTAACCAATATTTTAAGAACCAAATATATATCCATTTAAACCAGGCCCGCCAAACCCAACCTGTGGTGGATCCCAGGAGACAAAGTCAAAACGCAACATCCTTTGCCCCATACTTTGAGATATCCCATTTAACCCGACCGGCTAAAAATATAATATTGAACATTTTATTTTACCATTAATTCGCTAAATCATTCTCCCTTGTCCGCATCTTGTTTATCTTCTCAAGCACTTCAACATACTGCCCAGCAATCCTCAAACTAGTAGCATCAGAACCTCCATCTTCAAGAATTGCTCTTGATACCTCAGTAATTGCATTCGTAGTCGCTTGAGCATTAGATAAAATAGCATCAGCTTCTCCCTTAGCTCTATTCACTTGGTCATTTACTACACGTAAGAAAAGGGCAAATGTAAGATGGGAAGAAAATGGCTGTGATTTTGGAGTCTTGAGAAGATAAATAAGATGGAGACAAGGGAGAATGATTTAATGATTTAAGGAATTAATGGTGAAATAAAAAGTTCAATATTATATTTTAGCAGGTCGGGTTAAATGGGGCGGGTTATTAAATGATTTAATTGGATATATATTTTACTCTTAAAATTTTGGTTAATAATTAAAATTCCATGTCAGCAAATTTTAATAAAAAAATAATTAAATAGGTTGAGTGAATTTTTGTGCAAAGAAGTCATAGTTGAGTGACTTTCTGTGAAAAAAATTAATAATTGAGTGACCATCAAAGTTATTAACTCCAGAATCAAACTCATTCTTTTGCACTGCCAAAAAAGGAGGTCAGATTAATTTATAAATGTCATTAAAAAAAAATAAAAATTATTTGTTACATTATTATGTAAACTTTATGATAGACTCTAATACATGATTATATGATCTTCTTGTTTATAGAAACTACAAACAAAATTTTCTTCAACAATAGTGTTGTGGGATGATTAAAATATATGAAATCATAGAATATATAGGAGCCATTTATTTCTCTATTTCGTACTTAGTACATACCCAAGATTTTATATATTCAGCCATGATCAAGTTTTTGACGATTTGAATAGTTATTTGATCACTAAGGATAGTAATAAAGAACAACAAAGAACAAAAAAGTAAC